CATCTGCTGTCAGAGAGTGAAAGTGCGCGTACATCCAGAGCGTCTCTCACACGTTCCGCCATGTGCTTCTCGTCCAACTTCTGAGTTTGTGAGTCATTTTGAATGATTCTTTAGATGAACCGGTCATTTGAGTCATTTGATGCGTGGATAACTGAATGGAAAGATGTGTTGTCTTGCCATTATTTTGCAGTACACAGCCTCGTTACATTCAATTCAACCCGCAAACTCATATTTACAAAAATATGGGTAAAATATAATTTTCTATTTACTGCTTTAACCACCCCCACCTCTACATCAGAGTGCGCATGCGTCTTTCTCGCAGCATACAGCGGTGTTGTGCATTTTGACCAGTTGATGGTAAAAGTATTCTTAAAATGCATTCAAAATTCGGAATAATTTGTAATATAGAATTATTCACGGTATTTAGTGCCCACGATAACAATACCGTGCATATTAATTACCGTGATATATCGTATTACCGAATACCGGCACAAGTCTAGTAGCAATACATGAAATGTTTGTCAGTGTTAAACGGTTGCCAGATGTTTGCCACAGGAGGTAAATATACTTATGTTATGTTATCTTATTTATTATTTGTATCTTTTTTATTTTAATTTAAACTTGATGTTAAACTAAAGTAAATGAAGTAAGTTAAAGTAAAATAGTACAATTAAATAACATTATTCACAGCGTATCGATATGAATACATGTGTTAAATTTGCTTATATATATATATATATATATACATGCATACATACATATTTTTTTTCTTTCATAATTGATCAGTAATATATTTATGATTTTTTTGGGGGGAGGGGGGGTACATAAAAAAAAACTACTGGAAAAAATATATATATATTTATTTTTTTTGCAGTCACATATATTAATTAAACTAAAAGTACTGATAACCTACAGTTCAGTAAGCGATTTTGAGTCATAAGTTTGTGCAGTGAAGGATTCATCAGATTGAGCAAAACCAGTAACTTCTGAGTTTGTGAGTCATTTTGAATGATTCTTTAGATGAACCGGTTCATAAGAGTCATTTGATGCGTGGATAACTGAATGGAAAGATGTGTTGTCTTGCCATTATTTTGCAGTACACAGCCTTGTTACATTCAATTCAACCCGCAAACTCATATTTACAAAAATATGGGTAAAATATAATTTTCTATTTACTGCTTTAACCACCCCCACCTTAGAGAATAAACGTCATTAGTCTTCAATGCTCCGTTTCTTGCTCAGTGAATCCCCTCATGAAATGAACTGTGTATGTTAGCAGGTTGTATCTTTGGAAGGAGATAATATTTGTGTGTTGCCTGTGGCGATGAGATTTATGAAACTGAAGTATTTTATAAGAAGATCATACAAAGTTTTAGGAAGATAAATTAAACATCATGGATAATTTGTGTAATATTCAGGACTTGGAACATTTTGTAATCTTTTATTCTCTTCTTCAGTCATAAGCCGACCCACAGGGCCAAATCTGGAGATTCCTGCAGAATTGGAACAGCTGTTGTTATTGCACAAAGTTCCTCTTTTCCCCTGCTAACTGTTTTGGCTAATTGAATAATACTCTCAGCACAGTCTAACATTTTACCATGTTTAAATTCATTCTGCAGATTTTCCAGCTCAGAAAATTAGGTGATGGGCCTAAAACAAGGTTTTCTTTCACGTTTCTCAAGTCTATCACTGTCCTTCTCCTTAGATGCACCTGAAGAACATTTAAAAATATCAGTGACTTTCCACTTCAAACAAAAATACATTTGTCTGTTCTTAAACGATGTACATGTATTTCTGTAGAAAGCTCTTGTCATCGTAATGAAGATGATGTTAAAATACTCCGTGCAGTTGAAACTCCTGTGGGAAGCATCACGTGCAAATCACCCTCATTTACAAACAAAAAGACACCTTGAAAAATTGCATCGCTCAGTTGCTTCTCCGCTCAGTGTAAGCTGGTAACTGCTTCATTGTTCCCTGCTCATTTCTATGACAGCAGGGAGGAAAGCCCATGTACACTCCTGAGAAGTGAATTTACTGGCGTGGTGGATGTTTTGATGGCTCCTTTCAGCAGTGGAAGCGAGAAGAGAGCTGATGTTTGTATCATAGCTGACAGCTCTGTGGCCACCCAGGACTGTCCGGGGAATAGCCTTGAGGAACACAAGCGAAGGGATGTGGAGGGAGGATTGAGGTGCTTTGCTGCTATCACAGCGCCTTTATTTTAAGTGCTGAATGCACCCGCTGACCTGATAGTGTATACTGAACCATACCCCTCTTAGTGTGTACTGGTGCTTCAAGAACCCTAATTAAAGGGGTCATATGATGTGATTTCATGGTTGTCTTTGTCTTTTGAGTGTTAAAAGCTGTTCATGCATACAGAAGATCAGTAAAGTCACAAAGATTAAAGTCTCAAACCCAAAGAGATATTCTTTATAAAAGTGAACGCTCAGCCACGCCTTCCTAAAACGCCTCGTTCAAACACACCCCCGCATATCTACGTCACTGTGTGGAAAGATTTGCATAACACCGTTTGCGTAACTTTTATTCTCGCTGTAGTATTTTTGCCACTACTGCCATGTCGTGGAGACGCTGTGTGATTTCTTTGCGAAAGCCAAACTACTTTGTTTGGCCTTCCAAAAGAGGACACAACTAGAAATCAGTGGTTATGTTTTATTTACAACACTTTTCCAGAACAGCACAACCCAAATATTCGAGTGTGTGCAGGGCATTTTACGGAGGAAGGTTTCCTGAACCTGGTAAGGTGCGTAACATTTCTGTCACACGCTTGAGGTATTCGGCCAATCACAATGCACTAGATAGCCGACCCATCAGAGCACATCGCGCTTTTCAGAACGATGAGCTTTGTAAAAATCGACGCGTGTCAGAAAGGCGAGGCATAGAGGAGCAACAATAATGTACAGTATGTGGAAAGTTTTTTGAACCTTAAACCACATAAACATTGCATTACACCAAAAACTTTTTTAGCAACTTAATATGACCCCGTTAAGTACGATTTTCTTTTTTCTAACTTTGGTTCTGTCTTTCATTTGTTCTTCCTTTTGTTCTGTCTTTCATTTTTGTTTTTGCTTATGGTTTTTTTGTTTGTTTGTTTTTTTTTTGCTTGTTCTTGCATTCTCTTTCTTTAGTTTTTTTTCTTTTGTACTCTTGCATTTGTTTTTTCATTAATTTGATCTCTTTTGTTTTTGTTATTTTGTTTTTCTTCATACATTCATTGTCACATTCTGTTTTTCTGTTATCTTTTGTTAATTGTCGTTTGTTTGTCATTTTTTTATTTTAATTTTTGTATTGTATATTTATTCATTTGTCTTCTCCTTTGCTCTGTTTGTCTTTTTTTAGCTCTCTTTCATTTGTCCCATATTTTGTTCATTTAGCAATGTTCTTTATATTTCTTTCATTCTTTTACTTTTTACTAGTTCGTTCTATTCTATTCTTTCTTCCTCTTATGTTGTCTCTCTGCTTTTAGGTGTAAATAGCCTTAATTAATATGGATGAGTTGCCATGGCAATAGATTAATATAATGAATTTGTGTATGTGAGGAGGAATATTCATCAACACATTAGTGTGTTAACACACCTTTAGCCTCACAGCACACCAAACAGCAGACATCTACCTCCATTCCCCCTGTTGCTGAACCAGTATTGGTACAGATAGAGAATTGGCTGCATTTCCGGCATGTATATGATTATGGGAGTGGAAATTAGGTCAGATGCATTTTTGTATGAAAGCTATACTCAGCCACAGCTGGCTGAAGACATCCAATAGCCCCCCAAAAAAAGCAATTTCACTCGTGAACACACATACACACACAAGCACACACGCAGACACAATCGGGAGCCAATTGAATGAGCTTTATCGCAATGTGTGTGCATGTGTGTGCACTCTAATATTAGCTGAAATTGGTTCATAGCTCCTTATCTCAGTGCTGTTGTCAGTGCCTTTCCTCTTGCACAAGCCCCCCCACACACATGCTTTGCTCTTGCAGCCGCACCCCTTCAAATATGTACAGAGCGTTGCCACGAAGGGAGCTGCTTGCTCACACTGAACCAGAGGAAATAAACATGCCACGTGCATATTGTGTAGCCTTCGACTATACAGTGTCTTTCTTTCATTAATTATGAGATATTTGTTTTCCTAATGATTTTTTTTTTTTTGTAGATATGAACCAGCCTTGCTCTTGCTGTAAGCCAAGATAGTACTACAGTGCCAAGGCTCTCTTGCATTCGAAATATAATTCGAAATTAAATTTTCTCTATAGCTTCAGTCCAAATTTAGCTTCTGGGAATCAATGTATAAACAGACTTAATAGCAGGCTTGTGGAAAATATACAGGACTGTGGAAAATATGAGTCTTTATTTGTTCGTATGGCTTATATATTCCAAGTCTTTTGAGGTCATATAATGGCTTGTGTGAGAAACGGCTTGTCGACACTCATTAGCATTAGCAAATGAGCTGTGCTATTCTGTTGAAGGAAAATAAGGAAACCCTGCATTAAATGTAACTGACCTGACTAACATTTTGTTGCATTTGATGGAACTGTGGATCGTGTGGAGGGGAAAATTGCCCCCGTTTAAGATATTGTCTGGTCGTGTTTTAGCTCTAATAAAACATTGAATGTCTCTGAGGCCTGGTTTCACCAAAAAATCCTTGAGAGGATCAGAAACATCAGACTGAAGATGTGATGAATAAATGATAGCGTAGTGGACTGCAGCTTACCACAAAACTGACATTACTTTGAACTTTAGCAGAAAAGACAAACTGCAATCTGTGACATTTAGAAGTCAAATGAAGTCCAGATCAGAGCTTCTTTACTTTTAGTCTATTTCTGTTGGCTTTGAGGCCATATATGTGATCAAAAGGTTGAGTAAATTAACAGATATGCTACTGATTGGCTGTCACAGTTATTAGCTGCATTACAGGATGCATATGGATTATTATGGTCAAATGTATATCCTGACACTCTATTTGTTTGTCTCCATATGCAGCTGCCGGCAGACTTCAGCAGATTACACCTGGCAGACGGGATTCACCCCCAGGTGACACAAGTTTCCTCCAGCCACTCAGGATGTAGCATCACCAGTGATTCTGGGAGCAGCAGCCTGTCGGACATTTACCAGGTAACAACACCTAGCCATCGGGTAACGTAGGTTTAGCAGCTTTGTGGCAGTGCCATCACAATGTGACACATACTTTATGATCTGAACTGACAGCAGTCAACGGTTTTTACTGTCTTATGCTGCAATGACTAATGCAGCTAGGAATAATAAAGTAATAGTTTACTCAAAAAGCAACTTAATTTCTTGGCTCACATGTTGTTCTGTGTAACCCAAAAGGAGAAGTTTTGAACAGTCTCACTGCTCAGTAATTAGTTCATATTAACCATGTCAGTTAAGCTTCAATCTACCCAAAACACACACACATACCAATCAGAATACTGGGGTCAGTCATTTTTTTGAAAGAAGTCTCATATTTTTACCAAGGCTGCACTTATTTGATCTAAAATGCAACAGAAACCTTAATATTTTGAAATAAAATAAAAAATTAAACATTTAATAATAATTTAAAATGATTGCTATTAAAATTTTTCTTTTATAATTTATTCCTGTGATGGCAAAGCTGAATTTTCAGGATCATTACTCCAGTCTTCAGTGTCACATGATCCTTTAGAAATCATTCTAATTTGCTGATTTGGTGCTCAAGAAACATTCTTATTATTATCAATGTTAAAAACAATGTTGTGATTTTCAGGATTCTTTGAATAGAAAGTTCAATAGCATTTATTTGAAATAAAATAATTATAAATGTCTTTACTGTCACTTTTGATTAATGTGTCCCTGTTAAATATAAGTATACATTTATTTCAAACAAATATACATATATATGGAACAACACCTAATTTAGATTTTTTTTTTGGGTGAGCCATTTCTTTAATGTGCATGCAAATTTCATCCCTCTTTATTAATTTCTTTCATTTACCTTGTATTCATTTGGATGATGCTTTTATCCCAATCTTCATACAATGCATTGAAGATACATATTTTATCAGTATACATGCTCCCTGGTAATCAAACCCAAGACTTCTGTCACTAAAGATTTGTCACTATAACTAAACCTGAGCCAATGACCTGTGAAACTGAGCCAATGAGTCAATGAGATTAAAGCAGAAGGACCCCCACATTTACCTTATATATCTGTGCCCGTCTACAAAATGTGTATGTTTGCCTCTATTAATATTATTAATAGTGTTTGGCTTTGTATTTGCCTGGCTGTTTAATTGATTTCCTTGTCTGATGTGATTGCGGATTAAAGACGTTTTGTGGCAGGCCGTGTGCAGAGGTGTATGGGACATAATTCAGTTTATGCAGTGTCCGTTATCCTGGCCTGATGGCCATCTGTTAAAGGCTCATTAACAGCTGGACGGTGTCCTCGTGAAAAGAGGTAGTGATCTCCCTGCTTTATACCTCGCTTTACTACAATTCTCCTCACCTCTCCTCGCGATCCACATCTCGTAAAATGTAAAACAACAGCAGGCTGAGTGGAATGTTGTTAATATTAAATGGATGGTTTAAAATCTAAATTCTGATTGTGTGTGTTTGAAGCTGTTGAAGCTGCACAATATTTTATTCATGTGTCTGCCTACAGTTAAAGGGTTAGTTCACCCAAAAATTCTGTCATTAATTACTCACCCTCATGTTGTTCAAAACCCGTAAGACCTTCGTTCATCTTCGGAACACAATTTAAGATATTTTTGATTAAATATGAGGGCTCTCTGACCCTCCCATAGACAGCAAGGTAACTACCACGTTCAAGGTCCAGAAAAGTACCAAGAGGATCGACAAAGTAGTCCGTGTGACATCAGTGGTTCAACTGTAAAGTTACGAAGCTACGAGAATACTTTTTTGCGCGAAGAAAACAAAAATAACGACTTTATTCCACATTTTCATCTCTACTGCGTCACTTGTGGAATAAAGTCGTTATTTTTGTTTTCTTTGCGCAAAAAAGTATTCTCGTAGCTTCGCAATTTTACAGTTGAACCACTGATGTCACACGGACTACTTTGTCGATCATCTTGGTACTTTTCTGGACCTTGAATGTGGTAGTTACCTTGCCTATGCCATAGTTACCTATGGGAGGGTCAGAGAGCCCTGATATTTCATCAAAAATATCTTAAATTGTGTTCCGAAGATGAACGAAGGTCTTACGGGATTCGAACAACACGAGGGTGAGTAATTAATGACATAATTTTCATTTTTGGGTGAACTAACCCTTTAAGCTAATTAACTGCTGTATATAATTATATTACATATAATTATAGAATTGTTCATTAATTATTGTTGTTAACACAGTTTATAATTTATTGAACATTAGTGTCTTTTATCATATTGCCAATTTATAAAACCAATAATGCACAAAAGGTGGTGCATCATGTCTAAGAACAGCCTATACCCATGGCCAAATTACTGCAATGCACAGGCTCTTGTGACTTGTTGCTTTATTTGAAATCAGAATTGGTGGCAGTTAATGTTTGTTGTGGTTTTGGAATGCCAAGGGAAAGAAAATGTAGACGTTTAAATTAGCTAAATTGCTATATCATAAATAAATTAATAAATAAAGACTCGAAACCTTTGAATAGTGCATGTCAAGTTAATTGCTATCTCATATATATATATATATATATATATATATATATATATAT